TCCCTTCTTTCTTCCTGAAATAGTAACTGACATTCAAACAATTCTGCCTAGGGATTTCTCCATAGTCTACAGCCTTTTGGCAAACAGTTTCCAAAAATGCTTTGTAAACACCATCTTCAGTAGCTGAGATTATCCCATTGTTTGTTGAAATCCACTGCAGCTGTTAGACTTGGAAATTGTTTCCAGTTTATGTTCTCGTAATAAACTCGAGCTTTCTAACCATAGACGCACAGTGGAGGTTGTGGTTTCTTTTCGTGGTTGGTGGGGACTGGGGCTCATGATAGGACTGTGTCCAAGGACGAAGACAGACACGGAAGAGGTTAAAATTAGCCACAGCACAGCTGGCATCTGGACGATGTAAAAAAATAAATTTTTTTTGAGAAATGAAAATGTTTCTGGGGCGAGAAACAGACGGATTTGAATCTGGGCCATTAGCCCAGGGAACCATTTCAAGGTTATATGAAATTTTGAGGTGGTGGGTTCCTGCCCGAAAGACAGATACCAGGAGAAGACACCGTAGTAATGTGAGATCCGGCGACCAGCAAATGAACCCATGCCAAGCTCCAGGTGTGTGCCCAGCATTTTCCATGGGCTGTCTCGTCTGTTCATCACAGCAACGCTGTGGTACAAGCACTGTCATCCCCAGGGTACAGGAGACAAAATCGAGGCTCAGAGAGCTTGGCCAATTTGCCCTGAGTTACAGAAATGATCTCCGCTGAATCTGGACTCCCAGCTTAGGGCTCTGTGACTTCCATATGAAGTGCCTGGAGGAGAGTCCTGCAGGGAGATGCAGAGACATCTGGAAGCTCGTTTCTCCCAACCCTGCTTCCTCTCCTTGATCCCGGGAGATGGAACAGGAAGCAGGTGTGCATGTAGACGCACAGGGCTGCTGGGGGAAGGTGGGCAGGTATGGGGGGGCGCCGGTCCACTGCCCTCCCAGCGCCAGCCCACTGCTCGGCCTCCTTGGGCCTTGGCGAGGCCGTCTGTCTAAGCAGGGGGTTGAGGAGCGACCTCTCCCAGCACCCATGTGCTTAACTGCTGACTCGTGTGCTCTCGTAGGAACAAAAGCGGATCCTGGAGATGGGCATCACGGGTCCCGAGGGCCACGCCCTGAGTCGGCCTGAAGAGGTAAGGACGCCCCCGCTTGGACGTGGCTTGGACAGGCCGGGTGCTCACCCCATGCTGACCCAGCCGGAACAGCCCAGCCGGGGCCCAGCTCCTTCCCCTTCCCTCTGCCAGGGCTTCCCAAACCATCTTGCTGTCCCTGGGATTCGTGGGGGCTGCAGGTCAATCAGAGGAGACAGGAAGAGATGCTTTAGTGTTCAGACAGGATAAAAGTCCTTACCAAGGGCTGGGCATGGTGGTGTGCACCTGGGATCTCAGCACTTTGTGAGGCTGAGGCAGGGGGATCACTTCAGGCCAGGAGTTCAAGACCGGCCTGGGCCACGTAGCAAGACCTCGTCTCTTTTTAAAAAACCCAAAATTAGCTGGACATGGTGACACGTGCCTGTAGTCCCAGCTACTCAGGTGTCTGAGGTGGGAGGGTCGCCTGAGCCCAGGAGCTCGAGGCTTGCAGTGAGCTATGATCACACCACTGTACTCCAACCTGGGTGACAGAGCAAGCCCTAGATTCTGAGGGGAAAAAATCCTTACTAAGGTCTTTGTGTGTTAGATAATTAGAAAGTGGAGCTGGGAGCTGCGTGTCCCAAGCCCGGCACTCAGGAGACAACTACCTCTGCCTGCTGTGCTCCCAAGAATTGAAAGTGGATGAACTCCCCTGGGGGTGGCAGTGTGTGTGTGTGTGTGTGTGTGTGTGTGTGTGTGCGCACACGCAGGGAGGAGGACAGAGGGAAGGCAGGCAGATTGGGCATGGAACAGAGTGGACTAGGCCCGCTGGAATCCATCCTTTGCGTTGAGGATATTGCTGGTGTCCTATCAAGCCATGCACACGTCTCCTGGACCTGTGCTGGACGCTGGGGGCACAAGACATGACTAGACCGGCTCCTTGCCCCGAGGAGTTCTTGATCAGCCCAGTGCTCCAATGAGCTCTGGGGCCAGTGACGGGCCACGAGCTGTTTGGTCCTGGCCCATGGTGAGATCAGGACAGAACCAGAGACTGCGTTTACAGACTTTAAAAGTGCTTGCTTAGGAGGCTGAGGCAGAAGGATCGCCAGAGCCCAGCAGGTCAGAGCTGCGGTGGCTGTGAACGTGCCCCTGCACTCCAGCCTGGGCGACAAGAGTGAGACTCCAACACCCCGCAAAAAGTGCTTGCATGCCGCCACATCCGGGTGTGTGACCAGCGGCTTTACCGTGGAGAGCAGGGCGGGGTCCCGATTAGGTGTTATCAGACTCACATTTATAATTTTTCCCTTTAACATAGTAGATTCTTTTTGCTGACCGCACTCCGTAAAGAAAACAGGGAGCGCAGGGGCTGAAGGGGAGTCCTGGGAGCTCAGGTGGGTGGTGTCTGTGCCCCGCCCTGCCCTCCCGTGACATGCCTGTGGTCGTGTTCAGCTGGAAGCTGAGGCCGTGTTCCGGGCCATCACCATCGCCGGCCGGATCAACTGCCCCGTGTACATCACCAAGGTCATGAGCAAGAGTGCAGCTGACATCATCACCCTGGCCAGGAAGAAAGGTATTTGCCAGCCCTGGGCCTCCGGGGGCGGCTGGGCCTGGGAAAGGGCAGCCCCGAGGGCGCCCGCTCGCCCTCAAAGACAGAGACCTGCCAGGAGCTGGCAGCTGGAGCTGGTGGGCCTTGAGAACATTCTGGAAAGGAGGCTAGACACGGACAGGACGTGGGGTGTGGAGACAGTGGTATAGGTTTGGCTTCTGATGTGCCACCTGCCGCCGTGGACCTCGGGCGAGTCAGGGATGTGTTCTGAGCCTGGGTGTCCTCCCTTGTAGCTGGGGCGAGGCTCCCTGCCTCGTGGGACCCAAATGGGATGGGAGAGGATAGTAGTGTCCAGATACCAAAAGCAATGACAGCATGCAGAAGCCCGCCGAATGCGTCAGCTGTCGTGATCCCTGCAGAGCGCGGGGCCAGGGGGCTGAGGACGTGTGGGGAGGTGGGGCCCGGACGCTCGAGGTCTCGGCGGTGCAGGTGGGGATGCCTGCGAGGATGGCCGATGCCCCGGCGTTCAGCCAGTCCTGTTCTCCCTCCTCCACATCTTCCGGTTGTGCCATTGACGTCTCCCTCGAGAGACCATTTTGCTTTTGACCGGGCTCGTGTGTTTGCCCCCGCCCCCAAGGTCCCCTAGTGTTCGGCGAGCCCATCGCTGCCAGCCTGGGGACGGATGGCACCCACTACTGGAGCAAGAACTGGGCGAAGGCGGCAGCGTTCGTGACCTCCCCTCCCCTGAGCCCGGACCCCACCACCCCCGACTACTTGACTTCCCTGCTGGCCTGGTGAGAACCGAGAGGACATGCGGCTGGGAGGCGGCGGGGCCTTTGGGGGAAGAGAGGGACGGTGGGGAGCCCAGGCTGGTGCAGACGCGCCGTGTAGGGCCGGTCTTGGCCCGGCAATCTGGGGGGCCGGCACCCATGCGGGGACCTGAGCACCTGTGGCATCCAATAATTCACGTCTGTTGACTCCCTCCTGTTCATTCAACAACCGTTTAAGCACCCAAAATGTGCCGAGCGCCCAGGGTTAAGGATGTAAGACCGGGCTGTGTCACCTTGGTCATGGCACGTCACCTGTAGTGTCAGTTTCTTTCAGATCACGCAACGCAGGGAGAATACAGGGCCTGCACAGAGCTGGCTGTGACCTGGAACTTAGGTCTCCACAGGTGGGCACTGCTGCCTGCAAAGCACCTATCCTGCTCCAGGCACATACTGGGAGTGCAGACACCTTGGCGTCTGTTCTGTTCATCAACCACAGTGAGGGACGAACACTTAGTGCCAGCCGGGCTCCATGATGATGCTAAGGGGTGAGGTGTGCAGGCTGTTCTAGAAGCAGAGATGCACACACAGAACTGATCCGGTTTGCAGAAGTCTTCATGGAGGAGGTGACATCAGGACAGGGGCTTGTGCATGAGTAGGAGTTTGCCTGATGGGCGAGGATCAGAGAGGCCTCATGAGTTTAAAGCAAGGGAGGGCAGGGGTGTGAAGCCACATGGAAGCCACTGTCCCCAAATGACTCAGGAGCGCTGGGCTTGCGGATCCAGGGACTTCCTGGACGTCTGATGTCTGGTGAGTGAGTGACTCACGTTTCCGTAGTCCGAGAAGGATGCCAAGTCTTCCCCCACAAAGCAGCTGCCCATCTCGGAAGTGGCAAGAGCACGAACCGAGGACCCCGGAGTCTGATGGTGTCTCCTGTCCGTTGCTGCAGCCGTCCTGGCTCGGGCCGCCACCGTCACTGGCCTTCTAACACCCCTTTCGGTTCCCCGGGTGCCCTGTCTGCTCTTGCCGGACTCCCGACGTTTAAAACCTAGGTCAGGCCGAGCCCCCGCTCTGCTCAGAAAGCCCCTATGAGCTCTCTCTCAGGGAAAACCGAGTCTCTGCGGGACCTGGCTGGCACTCTGTCTTCTCAGCTGCCATGCGCTTTTCTCTGTTACTCCCTTCAGATCTCTGCCAGGAGGTTCCTTCTCAGGGAGGCCTCTCCGGGCCATCCTCTTGAAAATGGCAGTGCCAGCCGGTCCCCACCCTCTCCGCCCCCATCTGCTTTGCTCGAACCCCTGGAGCTTTTCTCAAACGCACCAACGCTCCGTTCACTTCTGCCGAGTGGCTGACGCCCCCATCCCTCACGCGTGCTAACGAACGCAGCCGTTGTGTCTTCTCCTGCTCTGAGATGCATCTCCCGTGCCTCAGTTCATACCGGGCACCTAAGAAGTGTGCAACACTGTTTTGTTGTATAATGAGCAAGTGCAGCGTCTAAATCTGTTTCCCTGTATCTAGGTGGTGACTAACACATCCAGGGCAGCCTCCCCCTGCGTTTATAATCACAAGACACCAGTCCACTCTTGCCCTGACTCAGGCGTCCAGCTCGGACTCCTAATACATCAGTAGCTCTAATATTAACGTATCCTAATGTGTCAGCATCCCCTGAGATACTCAGAGCCTGAGACAGTGTCCATACACTCCTGCCCTAGGAGCCAAGCCAGGTCTGGGGAGCCCACGGTGCCCTAAGATACTGCGGGCATATTGTGTGTATCAAGAAGGAACTTACTTTCTTTTTTGTTTGTTTTTTGACTCGGGGTCTCATCCTGCCGCCCTGGACAGGGTGCAGTGGCACAATCACAGCTCATTATAGCCTCGATTTCCTGGGCTCAAGCAATCCTCCTGTCACAGCCTCCTATAGGCACTTGCCACCATGCCCAGCTAATTTTTTTTGAAATCTTATAGCCATGAGATTTCACTGTGTTGTCCAGGCTGATCTCAGACTTCTGGGCTTAAGCGATCCTCCTGCCTCAGCCTCCTGAGTAGCCGGGACTGTAGGTGTGCACCACCACACCCAGCTACTTGTAAAATATTTTGTGTAGAGACAGGGCCTTGCTGGCTTTGTTGCCCAGGCTGGTCTTGAAATTCCGACTTCAGGAAATCCTCCCACCTTGGCCTCCCACAGTGTTGGGGTCACAGGTGTGAGCCACACCATCCCTGGCCTGGCATCTGCTTCCAAAACCCCGGGGGACCAAAGGGCAAACCCCACTGAACTTGTGTCCCTTTGCTGGCGCCGGCGAGCAGTACTTAGTCCTGAAAGCACGGCACACAAGTCAGCCAGCCCTTCCTCACATCCGTCGGCCACCTCGCGCCAGGAAGACAGATGCCATTGCGCGCCGCACGCTTTCTAACATGCTGAGGCCTGTGGTCAGTGACGTGCAGGGGGCGTTCCTGCCTCGTGAGACACGCAGGCTTGTGCTGGCAGGTTTCCGCCCTACTCACTGGGCTACTCATATCCATCCATTCGTTCATTCGCAGGCTACGCTTTTTGACATTGAGAGGAAATTCACAGCCCGTGCTTCACTCCACACTCAGTTTCAAAGAGAGACGGGCGGGATGGAGCAGAGAATGAGGACAGCCTGGGGAGAGCGTCTGCTCCTCGGAAGGCTTGGTTCCCCTTTCCATCCTAGCACGCAAGAGAAGCAACATGCCTGGCCCGGAGGGGCAGGACCAGGACTAAAAATAGGCCTGTCGGATTTGCAAAGCCAGATCGAGCGAAGCAGAGCTGCCCCAGGGGTTCCGTGAGCTGTGAGGCTGCAGAGCCAGCCCTGTCTCCGGCGCCTTCTGCTTCCAGCTCTGTTTTTGACACACAGAGCACGCCCACAGTATCTCAGGGCCCCCCGAGCTCTCCAGACGCAGCTCGGCTCCTAGAGCAGGAGTGTGTGTGGACGCCGTCCCAGGCCCAGAGGATCACGGAGAGGAGTGGCCTGCCCGTGTCTGCTCGGAGGCCCACCTTGGGGGTCCTTCCCCACCTCAGCCCAGAGCCCACACTGGCAGGGCACCCTCCCTCCTGACACCCAGCCCAGGGCTCCGTCCACCTTCCAACAGGACACCAGAGGCCCAAGGGCCTTCCCGTGTCGTGGCCAACGTTGGCGATGTGACCAGAATCGGCTTTCCAGAGCCTCCTGGGATCTCAGGTTCCACTGCTCGGCCTGGGTGTCTGGAGTCAGGTTTATCCTTCAAAGTGAACTCGGGTCTGAACACCCTGTTTCCTCCCTGCCAGCGGAGACCTGCAGGTCACAGGCAGCGGCCACTGTCCCTACAGCACTGCCCAGAAGGCGGTGGGCAAGGACAGCTTCACTCTGATCCCCGAGGGCGTCAACGGGATCGAGGAGCGGATGACCGTCGTCTGGGACAAGGCAGTGGTGAGGCTGGCTCTCCCCGCGGAGCATTCCAGAAGCACCCTCTCTGGCCCATCGGAACCGATGCACCGGGCACTCTAGATGCTTAAGTCTCCCATTCTTGCTTGAAGGGAGAGGCAGACGCACTAGGAGGGCTCAGGAGGGAGCGTCTGACCCTCGAGAAAGCGGCGTCAATGCTCTAGAGTCCTCCGCGTTCTCAGATGTCACGCTTGTCTCGAACACTTTAAGAACGAAGCATTGTGTTTTGCTTTTAATCACATTCGTTCTTGCGAAGATGGCTTTGTAGACTGTGTGTGCGTGTGTGTGTGTGCGTGTGTGCGTGTGTGTGTGTGTGATGTACACATGCTCATGTGTTAGGAGGACCTGTGGCTGTTGAGTGGGTAGAGAGAATTCTCGTTGCAAAGAAAACGCCAGGTCACACTCTGATGACTGACCTGAAACCCGAGCTTTTTATTCAACTTGGACCCAACAGTGCTGATGTCAACATACCTCCGTGGGCTTCACTGAACTCTCACTCCCATGTGGCCAGGCCCTTTACCCTCTTTGGGGTTGCGTGTTTTCAGCTGGGCACGGCGAGAATGCCATGCCTTATGGGGACTCCAGCAGGTGGGCTTCTGCGGTGCCCGTCTGCTCCGCCTCTCGGCCCTGTTTTGAGATGTTCTTCTTCTTGCCTCTAGGCGACTGGCAAAATGGATGAAAACCAGTTTGTCGCGGTCACCAGCACCAATGCAGCCAAGATCTTTAACTTGTACCCAAGAAAAGGGCGGATTGCTGTGGGCTCAGACGCCGACGTGGTCATCTGGGACCCCGACAAGCTGAAGACCATAACGGCCAAAAGTCACAAGTCGGTAAGTCCCGGCCTATACATGATGCTGAGATTAACACTTCTTGCTTTATAGTCATTTTGGAAGGCTGATTAGAAAATGACTTATGAACTTTCCAACCAGGATGTGAGCTGATATCTAGCTTGATGCATTCGGATTTCTCCTCTAGTAAGAGAGATTGAGAAAGGTCTTTGAGCAGGGTCAGCTAAGCTGTTGCTCTCTCTCTCTCTCTCTTTCTCTCTCTCTCTCTCTCTCTCGCTGTCTCTCTCTGTCCCTCTGTCTGTCTGTCTCTCTGGCTCCTGCCCACAGAGGCATGCATTCTCAGCCATGCCATATAGAAAACCGCAGGGCTTAGAGAGGGGAAGTATCAGGTCCGAGATTCTTCCTTCAACTCAATTCTCAAGCTGGAAAGGGTTTGATCTGGTATGTCGGATTCCCTTCTTGATTTTGGGGCCACCTGCTCACAGCCAGACAGGAAAGGATTGGCCCCAGAGCATGGCCCACAGGGACATACTTCCATGTCCTGCATCCCAAGCCTGGGGGGATGGGTGACTTCTGCTTCGTATCTTATGGGTCCTGGATGCTTTGCCTCACCCAGGAAAGCTACCAAGTCTGCAGAGATAACGGGAGACGCCTTTGCCTTCCTTACAGGCTTGCTCACATCCACTCTGCATGACCAGCAGGGGTCTTGAGTCCAGATTCACGTTCATACACACGGACACAAGAGGCTACAACCTGGCCCCTGGCTCCCAGGAGTCTGTGAAAGGGCACAGACTGAACGCAGAGCCTGTGCCCATGGTATTGGCTCTGTGATGGGAGTCCCCGCAGGCCCTGGAGCCACTCGCTGGGGAGGGAGGGGACCACATGCATGGGGACGGGACACCGGGCTCAAGAGAGTCTCACAGAAAAGCCATATGAACCACCTGTAGCTGCTCCCATGCATGGCTCCCAGGGGTCCGCTTGGTGCCAGAGACACTGCCTGGGGAAGTGCAGGTTGTGGCTGCTGCTCACTGACCTTGTCCAGCTCACCCACCTGGGGTCCTTCTTACAGTAGCAGTGCTTGCTGGTGACACCCTGGCTTCCCACATCCTACATCTCCAGGGAACAGAGGCAGGAGGAAATAACCCAGAGATCATCTGCCCCCAGAGAAAGGCTTATGCCATTCTCCACATGGACGTTCCAGCAGGGCGTGCGATGACGTTTCTTATGATCACGAGTGCTGCCGTGGGTGTCTCGCTGCACACAGGAGAGGTGGTGGGAGAATGAGAGGGTTTCGCATGCGAAAGGGGGTCTTCGTTCATTCTGCCTGGCTGGCACAGAAGACCACAGACTGGGCCATTTCTAAAGAAAAGAAATGTCTTGGCGCATGGCTCTGGAGGCTGGGAAGTCCAATACCGAGGTGCTGGCAGGCGAGGACCTGCTCGCTGGGTCGTTCCGTGGTGGGGATGGGGGCGGGGGGCTGCAGGGCAAGCTAACAAGAGGGAGCTGAACTCACTTTGGTGGCAAGCTTGTTAATTCACTCCTGTGAGAAGGCGAGAATGGCATTAAGTATTCAAGAGGGCTAGTGAGGCTCCAACTCAAGAAACAAAAACAAACAAACAAAAAGAGAGCTCCACTCTCCGGACCAAATCACCTCCTCACGGTTCCACCTCTTAATACTGTCCCAGTGACAGATGTCAACGTGAGTTTTGGGGGGGATGCTCAACTATAGCAGAGGGTGTGCGCCGCCCTCTGGCCACAGGAGCTGCATCTTGCTCCACAGGCTGGACCTAGTCTAGAGGAGGTGAGTGTCTGAGTCCGTGACTCAGAAGCCGCCTGACCAGGACCCAGAAGGCAGGGCAGTGAGCCTGGCATGTGAGCCCTCATTCTCTTACGTTCATCCACATGTGGTCAGCGGCCGCGCCGGGTTCTGTGCCCAGGAGTGGTGACTCCAGATATTGTCACGGTCCTGCCAAATACCGTCTTGCAGTTTGTCTGTGCTGAGCAGTTTCCATGCATCACCTCTTTCGATCCACAGTGATCTTCCAAGTTAAGTCCGTCGTTAACGCGTGAGAGAATGGACAGAAAGACGATACATGGATCTGTTTCCTGTGGCTGCCCCCCGGAGTGTCACAGCCAGGCTGGTTTAAACCACAGAAATGTATTCTTCTACAGTTCTGGAGTCTAGAAGTTCGACATCAAGGTGTCAGCAGGGCCGTGCTGTTTGTTTCTGAAGGCTCCAGGAGAAGATCTGAGCCAGGCATCTCTCTCAGTGCCCAGTGTCCCTGGCCATCCTTGGGACTCCTTGGCGTGAAATGCATCTCTCCAGCCTCCGTCTCTGTCATCGCAGCTCTCCAGTGTGTCTCTGTCTGTGTTGCAGAGGCCTTCTCCTCTGTGTCCTGCCATCTTCTGATAAAGACACCAGTCATTAGATTCTGGGCCCACCACACCGCAGTGTGACCTCAGATGAGTGAATTACACCCACAAAAGCTCCGTTTCCCAATAAGGTCGCCTTGGGAAGTCCTGGGGTTAGGATGTCAAGAGGATATCGATGTAGCCTTCTGGGCTACGTTACGTTCAACCCATAACGTTAAGTAACGTTACCCGTCTGGGAAGTAATTGACTTCAGGTTCAACTTGGGAGGCACCCCCTCTCCGTACAAGGCCAGATTTGAATTCTTTTCATAGCAGCAAGAGGGCAGTTTAGGATACCTTAAGGCAGTTTGGGCCAAAGGATTTTATCTGTTTTATTTTCTCTGTTCAAAGCAAAGCCGTTCACATACCACAGGAAAGTCATTTTCTTCAGAATGCAGATTGAGAAATGCTGTATTACAGGTCAATTTTATTTTTACAAGTTTTACAAAATATTTTACCAATACAATGAGATCATTTCTTATATTTTGATCAGTGACTAAATTTTTAATTCTACTCTTCCATAAAAAGAAATCCATTTTTATTCTTTCTTGTCTCAGTGGAAAACATATTTGCCTCAAAGTGCCACATCATAAGTATACATGCGTGTTTGTATGCCCATAGCCATCTAGCTTTTTAAACTTTTTTTGAGTTGGAGTCTCACTCTGTCGCCCAGACTGGAGTGCAGTGGCCGCTCCCAGCCACCGCAGCCTCGACCTGCTGGGCTCCGGCGATCCTTCCACCTTAGCCTTCCTAGTAGCTGGAACTACAGGCGCGCGCTACCACGCCTAGCTAACTTTTGATTTATCATGGAGATGAGGTCTCGCCAAGTTGCCCAGGCGGGTCTCGAACCTGCGGGCTCAGGCAATCCACTCACCTCGGCCTCCCAAAGCGTGGGATTACAGGCTGAGCCACCGAGCCTGGCTTTTTAAACTTTTAAATTGAAGTACAATTCGCATACTATAAATTTTACCATTTTAAAGTGTGTGTAATGCAGTGCTTTTTAGTGTATTTTTGAGGTGGTTGTACAGTCCTCTGTTAATTCCAGAACAATTTCATCAACCCCCCAAAGAAATCCCGTGTCCATTGCCAACCCCATCACCCCTCCCCCAGACCCTGCCAGCCACTAATCTGCTTTCTTTCTTGATGGATTTGTTTATTCTGGACATTTCGTATAAATGGAATCATACAACACGTGGCCTTTGGTGCTGGGTTCTTTCACTTAGCGTAATGTTTGAGGATCATCTGTGCTCTATCACGGATCAGTCCTTTTATGGCGAAATGATATCCCCTTGGATAGCCAGACCACATTTTGTTCGTGCACGCATTAGTTGACCAGCTGTCTTTTAAAGGATATTATACCAATAGCAGCGGTCTCCCCCAGGAGGGAACTTGGGAACCGGGACTTGTGAATGTGAGACACAAGAGTCTTTTCTAAAATTATGGTCTTTTGTACTGTTTAATTTTTTTTTTTTTGCGCTGTTTGCATTTTGCCTTTAAGAAATGAAGTGACTGGCATGCAAAATCCTGTGTAGTTGTAAAATATAGAGTGGGACATTTGCAATATAATCTGAGCCTGGAAATAATTCCCCAGGTTAGGAATGAAAGAATTCCTCAGATTAGGAACGAAAGAATGCCTCGGATGAGGAATGCTGCCTTTGAATTCCATTCTCTTCCATCGAGAGTGGGAACAGCGGCCCTGCCCTGGGCAGCCAGTTTCGACGGGCAGGTGGGAGGCTGGCTTCTTGTACCCCCTCTGAGCACTCGCCGTCCACGCGTGTCCTTCCGCACGGTTAGAAATCACTCCTCAGCAGGGTTGCTGCTGGGTGGCTCAGGAAGAACTGGATGAGTAGATGCTCAAACTGAAAACACACTGTTTGCCTGGGCCCTGAGGGGAGGCTGTGGCGGCACAGACTGGCACAGAGGAACAGCTGTCTATGGAGAGGTGGTCGTTGGACTGAAACCCCAGGGACGGATCCAGAAATCATAGAGCATCGCAAGAGAGAATCTGTTGGCGCCCCGTACAAAGAAACAAATACAAACTAGCTTTTCTATGGAATAATTAAAAGCCACTTTGGAAAATAGTGTGGAAATCAAAATCCTCCTCCTAATAGCCATAAAAAGCAAGACATAAAAATTCAAGGACTTTTTTTTTTTTTTTTGAGTTGGAGTCTCACCCTGTCGCCCAGACTGGAGTGTAGTGGCCGCTCCCGACCACCGCAGCCTTGACCTGCTGAGTTCTGGCGATCCTTCCGCCTCAGCCTTCTGAGTAGCTGAAACTACAGGTGTGCGCTACCACGGCCGGCTAATTTTTGATTTATTGTAGAGGTGAGGTCTCGCCAAGTTGCCCAGGTGGGTCTCAAACCCACAGGCTCAGGCAGTCCACTCGCCTCGGCCTCCCATGTGCTGGGATTATAGGCTGGGCCACTGAGCCTGACAATTCAAGGACTTTTAACAAGCAGGGTCAAGGGTTCACTTTAGGAGCAAGAGAAAGAATGTGTGTTTAAAGGAAAGTGCTTCCAAGGATTCAGTATAATGGACATATCAGTCATTTCTAATTGAATGTATCCATTTGACATAATCTCATTAGAAAACAGGTGATTATTTTTTAACCTAAAAGGCAGGGTTTCTAGGTAGTAAATGTGAGAAGAGCCAAAATATTTCTGGATGAGGGACAAGCTGAGGCAGGAGCATTATTCATCCCAGTTATGAAAGTGTATTATAAAGCTACAACAAACCAAACAGTTTGGTGTGAGTACAAGAGGAAGAAGAGCCGGGAAGCAGACCGACCCCAGATGAGAATTTGGTTTACAATAAAGGAGACAAAATTAGTTAAGAAAAATTCAACCAGCCGGGCTCGGTGGCTCAGCCTGTAATCCCGCGCCTTTGGGAGGCTG